GGCCAGAGGCTGAGTCTTCAGATGCTGTTATTACAGGTACTATTCTGGTCTGTGATAGGGATGCCTCAGTGCTATTTGACCCTGGGTCTACGTATTCATATGTGTCGTCTTATTTTACACCCTACCTGGCTATGCCTAGTGATGCTTTGGGTATCCCCGTTTATGTATCTACACCGGTGGGTGATTCTATAGTGGTCGACCTAGTTCCTTGTCGTGTGTGGTAGTGTTGAGGTCTTTAGAGTCGGTTGATTTATTGCTCTTGGACATGGTAGATTTCGACGTTATATTAGGGATGGATTGGTTGACCCCGTATGATGCTATCTTGGATTGTCACGCCAAGACCGTGACCTTGGCTTTGCCGGATTTGCCCCGATTGGAGTGGAGAGGGATCCCAGGTCATGCCACCCGTAGTGTTATTTTATATGTGAAGGCTTGACGTATGGTCGAGAAGGGGTGTTTAGCTTACTGGCGTATGTCGCGATTCCAGCGCAGAGGTCCCTTCTATTGACTCGGTTCCTATTGTTCGGGAGTTCCCAGAGGTTTTCCCTTTAGACCTGCCGGGTATGCCGTCGGATAGGGATATTGATTTTTGTATTGATCTGGCTCCGGGCACTCAGCCCATTTTCATTCCGCCGTATCGCATGGACCCGCCGAGTTGAAGGAGTTAAAGGATCAGTTGCAGGATTTGCTTGAGAAGGGTTTTATTAGGCCTAGTGTTTCTCCTTGGGGTGCGCCAGTGTTATTTGTGAAGAAAAAGGATGGTTTGATGAGGTTGTGCATTGATTACCGGCAATTGAACAAAGTGACGATAAAGAACAAGTATCCACTGCCGAGGATTGATGATTTGTTCGACCAGCTTCAGGGTGCAAAAGTGTTTTCAAAGATAGACTTGAGATCTGGCTACCATCAGCTGAGGATTAGAGCATCCGATGTCCCTAAGACGGCATTCCGCACTCGTTATGGGCATTATGAGTTTTTGGTCATGTCATTTGGGTTGACCAATGCCCCAGCAGCATTTATGGAGTTGATGAACCGAGTGTTCAGACCTTACTTGGACCTGTTCGTGATAGTCTTTATTGATGATATTTTGGTGTACTCCCGCAGCCAGGAGGAGCACGAGCAGCACCTCAGAGTGGTTCTTCAGACTCTGAAGGATAGTCAGTTATATGCTAAGTTCTCGAAGTGCGAGTTCTGGTTGAGTTCGGTTGCATTTCTGGGTCACGTCGTATCAGCAGAGGGTATTCAGGTGGACCCGAAGAAGATTGAGGCAGTCAAGAACTGGCCTCGACCAGCATCAGCTACTGAGATTCGGAGTTTCTTGGGGTTAGCAGGTTATTACCGCCGGTTCGTGGAGGGGTTTTCATCCATAGCAGCCCCGATGACCAGATTGACCTAGAAGGGTGCCCAGTTCAGATGGTCGGATGAGTGTGAGGCGAGCTTTCAGAAGCTCAAGACAGCTCTGACTACGGCACCGATATTGGTTTTGCCCACAGGTTCAGGGCCTTATACAGTTTATTGTGATGCTTCCCGTATTGGGCTTGGTGCGGTATTGATGCAGGATGGCAGAGTCATTGCTTATGCTTCGAGGCAGTTGAAGATCCACGAGAAGAATTATCCGGTCGATGATCTAGAGTTGGCAGCCATTGTTCATGCTTTGAAGATTTGGAGGCATTACTTATATGGTGTGACGTGTGAGGTGTACACTGATCACAAGAGTCTGCAGTACTTGTTCAAGCAGAAGGAGTTGAACTTGAGGCCGAGGAGGTGGTTGGAGCTATTGAAGGATTATGATGTTACTATTTTGTACCACCCGGGGAGAGCCAATGTGGTGGCCGATGCATTGAGTAAGAAGTCCGCCAGCATGGGTAGTCTTGCTTATGTTCCGGTCAGCCAGAGACCGCTTGCTTTGGATATTCAGGCCCTGGCCAATAGATTTGTGAGGTTGGACATTTCTGAGCCTAGCAGAGTGTTAGCTTGTACGGTCGCTCGTTCTTCATTATTGGAGCGTATCCGTGATCGGCAGTTTGATGATCAACATTTGTGTGTCCTGAGAGACACGGTGCAGCGTGGAGGTGCCACGAAGGTGACCTTAGATGATGATGGTGTTTTGAGATTGCAGGGGCGAGTTTGTGTGCCCAATGTCGATGGGATTCGAGAGTTGATCTTTGCGGAGGCCCATAGTTCTCGGTATTCTATTCACCCGGGCGCCGCGAAGATGTATCAGGATTTGCAGCAGCATTATTGGTGGCGTAGGATGAAGAAAGATATTGTTGCATATGTGGCTCGATGTCTAAACTGTCAGCAGGTTAAGTATGAGCATCAGAGGCCTGGTGGTTTGTTTCAGAGGATTGAGATTCCCGAGAAGTGGGAGAGGATTACCATGGATTTCGTTACTGGACTTCCGATGACTCGGAAGAAGTTTGATGCTATTTGGGTCATTGTTGATAGACTGACCAAGTCAGCACATTTTATTCTGGTTGCAGCCACTTATTCATCGGAGAGGTTAGTTGAGATCTACATCCGAGAGATTGTTCGCCTTCATGGGGTGCCGGTATCTATCATTTCGGACCGGGGTACGCAGTTTACCTCGCGCTTCTGGAGAGCCGTTCAGCAGGAGTTGGGCACCCAGGTTCAGTTGAGCACAGCGTTCCATCCTCAGACGGACGGCCAGTCCGAGAGGACTATTCAGATATTGCAGGATATGCTCCGAGCCTGTGTCATTGATTTTGGAGGCTCGTGGGACCAGTTTTTTCCTTTAGCATAGTTCGCCTACAACAATAACTACCACTCCAGCATTCAGATGGTTCCATATGAGGCGTTGTATGGTAGGCGATGTCGGTCTCCAGTCTGATGGTTTGAGCCGGGAGAGGCTCGGTTATTGGGTACAGATTTAGTTCAGGAGGCCTTGGATAAGGTCAAGATCATTCAGGACAGGCTTCGTTCGGCTCAGTCGCGGCAAAAGAGTTATGCGGATCGCAAGGTTTGAGATGTAGCTTTCATGGTTGGTGAGCGAGTATTGCTCCGTGTATCGCCTATGAAGGGCGTGATGAGATTTGGGAAGGGCAAGCTTAGCCCTAGGTTCATTGGCCCATTTGAGATTCTCGATCGTGTGGGAGAGGTGGCTTACAGACTTGCCTTGCCGCCCAGCTTGTCAGCCGTGCATCCAGTGTTCCATGTGTCCATGCTTCGGAGGTATCACGGCGATCCAGCCCACGGCGATCCAGCCCACGTGTTAGATTTCAGCACTGTCCAGTTGGACAAGGATCTGTCTTACGAGGAGGAGCCGGTAGCTATTCTAGACCGGCAGGTTCGACAGTTGAGGTCAAAGAGTTTTCCTTCAGTGCGTGTCCAGTGGAGAGGTCAGCCTCCTGAGGCATCGACCTGGGAGTCCGAGTATGATATGCGGAGCCGTTATCCTCATCTATTTCCCGACTCAGGTACTTCTTTCTTTTGTCTGTTCGAGGACGAACGGTTGTTTTAGAGGTGGAGGATGTGACGACCCAAAGGGTCATCACCTGTTTCCTCATTCATGCCGCGCTTCCGAGGCCTTGAAAACCTTATTTTTTACTTGCCTCGATTTGCATGCGCAGTCCGGGCGCGTAGCCGAAAAGATTATATGTTAAATTCTGTAAAAAATTATAAAATGTGGCTTTAAAATGGTTAAAGATGACCTTGGTCAACATTTTGGTAAACGGACCCGGACCCGTGATTTGACGGTCCCGGAGGGTCTGTAGAATTGTTTTTCTGTGAAATTATTTTTCTGGAATTATTAAGGAAAATGGAAATGAAAATTTATTAAAAGACTATGGTATCGGGCTCGTATTTTGGTTCCGACGCCCGGTACAAGTCTTAAATATGTGTTAAGCGCTTTCTCTAAAGTTTGGTCGAAAGCGGATGTCATTTGGCATGTTTCGGACCTAAATATCTAAAGTTTGAAGTTTGTGAAGTTAGAATGAAAAATGATGATTTTGAGGTTTGATTCATTGATTTTGATGTTGTTTTGGCGATTTGATCGCTCGAGTAAGTTCGTAGGATGTTGTTGAGTTAGTGTGTGTGATTGGTTGGGAGCCCCGAGGGCTCGGGAGTGTTTCGGAGGTGTCCCGAGATGTTTTACACTTAGGAATTGTAGCAGATTTCTCTGCAATTTTTGCCCAGCTGTTGCCTTCTTCGCGATCGCGGACTCGACCCCGCGTTCGCATAGCTTTGGACTCTCCCTTCTTCGCGTTCGCGGAAAGGCCCCTGCGTTCGCGTACTTACAGCCCTTCCTCAACCGCGTTCGCGTCCCCTTTTTACGCGTTCGCGTAAGGCAATCCTAGGGCCCCCACCAGCTTCCTCTTCGCGTTCGCATCACACCCACCGCGAACGCGATGCCCCCAGTTTCTCTTCACCGCGAACGCGATGCCCCCAGTTTCTCTTCACCGCGAACGCGTCCTCTTAGTCGCGATCGAGTAGGTTAAAAACGCCCAGTTATATTTTTAATTTCCAGAATCGGAACACACGGGATTTCTTCACTTTCCTCATGAGCTCTCTTCTTCCCCAAGCTTTAGGAAGCCATTAAAGCCCCCACTCTTCAAGACCGCTTGGGTAAGTAATTCCCCACTCATTTCCTTCACTTTTCCTTCATTAATTAGCAAGTTTCTAAGCCTAAATCATGAAATCAAAGTAGAAATTAGGGGTTTTGGGTAGAGTTAGGGTTTTGAGAATTTTGGGTGATTCAACCTCAATTTGGGGTCGAATCTTAAAACAAATTATATATTTGGACTCGTGGGGTTATGGGTGACTAGGTTTTGGTCTGAGCCTCGTGTTTGGACCGTGTGGGCCCGGTGTCGAATTTTGGTATTTTTTGAAGAATGCTAGGAAATTCATATCTAGGCTATGGGATGTTGCCATTGAGTCTTTATTGATACTATTGAATTAATTATGCCTAGATATCATTGTTTCGGAGTCGGATTGTAGAGGAAAGGCGGTATTTGAGGGTTGATTGCTATTCTTTGGACCGAGGTAAGTGTTTGATCTAACTTTGGCTTGAAGGAATAGGATTAGAGTGTTATTATTTGCTAATTGCTAAATGATCGAGTACGGTGTATAGGCATGGTGACGAGTATCTATACACCGGTGTCTAGCGTGACCGTGGGTCCTTGTAGGTACTTATCCTGATATTGTTATGACTCTTCCATGTTAATTGATGAATTCTATGCAATGTGAAGAGTATGAGGATTAATTATGAATTGTAAATTCTTTGGAGCATTGGCTCGAACGATTAAAAGACTATTGAGTAAGAAATGAAAGAAATAGAAAGTGATATGATTAATCCCTTGCCGGGATGGTTTGAGTATATTGATTATCTCCCTTGCCGGGATGTGAAAGTATTGTTGTTGCTCCCTTGCCGGGATTTAGCTGTTAATTGTGTAATTCCCTTGCCGGGACATTTCTTATTATTTGTTTATCCCCTCGCCCCGTTTGGTTGTGATTACTGTTTGGGTGAGGAAGAGTGATAATGCACGAAGGGTCATTCCGTGCCATGTTTTGATTATATTTGCACGAAGGGTCATTCCGTGCCATGTTTTGATTATATTTGCACGAAGGGTCATTCCGTGCCATGTTTTGATTATATTTGTACGAAGGGTCATTCCGTGCCATGTTTTGATTATTTATGCACGAAGGGACATTCCGTGCTCTGATTTGATTATAATTGCACGAAGGATCATTCCGTGCCATGATATGAGAGTTATGTGAGGGAAAGCACGAAGGGTGATGCCGTGCACTTTATTTGATTGCTTTTGGTGAGAATGAGAGTAAAAGCACGAAGGTTGATGCCGTGCAACTGTTGATTTCCTGCTCTCATTAATTATTGTTATTGCCCTGTTTCTTACTTAAATTGTTGACTTTATATCCGGACTGTACTCCCCCATAGTATGCTCCCCTCCCTCTTAACTGTTTAATTTCTTTGTTCTTTCGTTTTATTGCATATATATATATATTGAACTGCACAGGTTGGTTTGGTAGTCCTGTCTAGCCTCGTCACTACTTCGCCGGGGTTAGGCCAGGTACTTACCAGCACATGGGGTCGGTTGTGCTGATGCTACACTTCTGTGCTCTTTTGCACAGATCACGGTACCGGAGCAGCTTTTGGACCACAGCAGTAGGATATTGATCGGGAGCTGACTTCAGTCCAGGGACTTACGAGGTAGC